TCTCAATCACTTTTGGTGAAACTATAGTCGATTCCGGCGAAGACAAAATACCAACTCAGACATTGGCTCTGATACCATGTTATTGATAAGGTTTGGAGAGAATAACTTGTATATTACTCAAAGAGAACAATGGTTATAAATACATGGAGAGAATAAGCCAACTATGGTAACTAAATATTCAAATCCATAAGCCATCTGTATCTATCTATATTATTATACAAATTCTGTAACAGAAACCAATGCGAATGATCAAGAAATGGCTCCAAAAATTGAGGAAGAGTATTTTTTATGAGAGCAGGTTCCTTTAGTCAAAATGTGCTTGAAAATATGATGATTACTTGGCCCGAAGTGAGGACACAGTCTCATTTTCAGTTGTATCTTCTTTGTTTTTGTTTTGATAATAAGATTTGGATTGACCATGCCCGGTGATGGATAGGGAGTGACGACTTTCTTGGGGCTAAATCATTGATTGCTTGTGAGTGAGTGTTTGATTGGCGTTGATTGTGGAGAAGTCGGCGTAGCCGTTCCTGAATAGATGCATGAGGTTGCATGATGATGGATTGCTTGACGGCTTTCTTAAGTGCAAAATTGTCGTCTTTTTGGGATGGTTTTGACTTGGTTGGTACTAAGAAGATAGTCATGCATGTGAATAGTGTTAAGCATACTACCTCTCTATTTTAAAGAGGTTGAGCATGTTATGAATAATTTGTGACACTCTTACAACTCTTTTTGTGACTTTTGATTCTTTTGCGGTTAAAATGTTGAAAAGGAAGTAAGATTTTGAACCATCTTGATTGATTTGCAGGCCATGTGTGGTGAGTTGTTGAATAATGTCTCGTGTTTGCTTTTGTCACCTAGAATTTGCCCAACTGGTCTTGAAATGTTTGTCTTGATTGAGTTTGGTTGGAGAAATGATCTTAGGCTTTCTTTGATGTTCTTGAAGTCCACTTGGCCTAAAAATCCCACCTTTGCACTAAATATATCCTTAGTTGACGGCTTTCTTAAGGGAAAAATTGTCGTCTTTTTGGGAAGATTTTGACTTGGTTGGTACTAGGAACATTGTTGTAGACACGTAATTTTTGACCGAACGTAAAATTTTATACCATTTTTAGAGCTGAAATATTTTTATAAATAAAAATTAAATATTTTGACTTTTATCTTATTTTATTAAGTTCATTTTTAAAAAAAAAAAAGATTTGAAAACAACAAAAATAGAATCACTTTTAAGGTAAGTTTTATTTTCAATTGTTTAAAAAGAAATGAAAGATTACAAAAAAAAATCTATATTATTTTAAAATTAAGTTTTTATAAATGAGCTAGTATTTATTTAATTGTTTTTTTTACTAGCTATTTGACTTTCTCTAATTAGCTTTTATTAATTTAAAATAATTAATTGATATTTTTATTATAGTTAATTATTATTCTTTTAAAAGTAAAAAAAAAACTAAAAGTAAAGTAAAAAATAACTTACCCCACTTTATCTGCCAACACCCCGACCCCACTTTGCTTTCAAATAACCCCACTTTCCTCTCCAACGACCCCACTTTGCCTTCAAATGACCCCACTTTTCTCTCCAATGACCCCACTTACCCACTTTCTCGTCAACTACACACCACCTGCACCTCTAAAACCTATATAAACTATACCAATATGGACGACACCGGACTCCTATATATATCACAATACATCACCATCATAAGGCATCATCAAATATACGGAATAGCAGTGCACACACAAAAAAAAAGAGAAGCAATACACTTTAAGTCAGAAAGATTTTTGTTCGTGGATTTAAGTTCGTGGCTCCTTAAAGTTAATTATAATTAACTTTGGAAATCAGTAGATTGTAGCGGTTTCTTTTGTTGGAATTAAATTTTACGAAAAGGTAATTCTAATTTCTTATATAGTTCAATGAAATAATTGTTC